CAAAACTGTCAATTCAAAAAGATACTTTATTATGATATATAAGGCCCCGTCCACACGTATCCGGAAATTTTTGTATCCGCAAATTTTTTTTACGGATACGGGTTGCGTCCACACGTGTCCGGAATTTTTGTGTCCGTATCCGCAAATTTTACGAAAACGGATACGTGTGGAAGGTGAAAACGATTCGAATACGCTGCGTGTAGACGCAAACATTTTCGTATCCGCAAAAAATAATTTGCGGATACAAAAATTTCCGGAGACGCGTGGATGGGGCCTAAGACCGCTACCAGGTGATCTCGGAAAGCGCGCAATGCATGATTTTCTGACTTGAAAAAGAATCGATCCCTGACATGACAKCGCGCCTAGAGTCCTGGACGAAACATTGCCGTAAAGGACGCCATTTTGTTTTGGGCTGGATATGAATATGCATTCTATTGAAATATAGTGCGAAATATTGTTGAAAGGAAGTCATAGCTGCACATTTGAAGTCTAAAGTAATGTTTCAAGTTATGTTCAAGAAACAATTTACAAGAAAAACTTATTTTAAGTGAGTGTTTATCCGTTTTTTGTAATTCGTGTAGCCAAAAAAGCTAACCTTACGAAGTTTTTTGTTTCGAAAATGATTGAAAATGTGATAATATGATCAAATTGCTATTTAGAGGTAGCGTGTACGTAAGTATATTAATAACAATAAACTTTTTTTGATTTAAAAATGTGTTGTATTTACGTGCTATTCTTATATGTGTTATGTTCTTGATTATTACGGATCCACACATATCTTGTTTTTTCTCTGCTTCTCGAGGCGCGCAAAGGTATATTGGGATTGGTTCTTTTTCAGCAAGCGCGATTCGCATTCTGATTGGCTAATCGATTTCGGTCAGGTCACCTGGTAGATATTTGATTGACATGTAAGCCAACACCCCAAACGTATGGAATTACTAGCTACTTGCCTGGGCCGATTAATCAYCTAAAAGAAAAGCAGTTCAAACTTCTTTATCTTGGGTGTAATATTTTCTTATTTCAGACCACGTACCACGTGTCATTCGCTAGAGTATAATTTCTTTGTTTAACAGTTACACGTCAGAAGACATGAATATAAATACAACTCAAGCAAACAGTCTTATTCTTAAGAGAATAATRCGTGGTTTGAAATGGGAAAATATTACGCCCAAACGGAAGACGGGTATTGTTGATCACAGGACAGAATTCGAATTTCTTTTTTCTCCAGCCAACGAACCCTATGCTATGGCCAGGCTTAACGAAGCAATTGCTGAGTACCACCAGAAAACATGTATTCGCTTTAAGAAGAGAACAACTGAGAGAGATTATGTTTCTGTGTACAAAGGAGGCGGGTAAGATTTGGCGACTAAAATAAACGAGGAAGCATTTGTGGCACCTCTCATTACTGGCGTGTTGCAAGCTATACAATACTATAAAAGCACTAGTTAGCACTCTAGAAATTATTTTGTTTTAATTATCCAGGTGTTGGTCTTCTCTTGGAAAAACTGGAGGCAAACAGAAGATCTCTCTAGGTGGTCTATGCTGGAGCAAAGGAATAGCAATACACGAATTTGGTAAGTAATGATTTATTAGAAAGATAATATTTAACAATTATTGTTTAATTGTTATCGGTGGAATATTTATCGAGCCAAGAGTCTTCGAGAGGCGAGGTAAATATCWCCATAATCATTGAGCCTGAGGARAATAATGATCTAAGTCGTTTCGTTTTAGTATTACTCCCGATCTGGAAAACTTTGGAAAACCTARATAATCACCGCTCCAGAAGCTTCCAGAGGTGATTATAATCACAGGATCACCGGTCGCTCGACCAATCACAGCTCGAGAAACTCTATATTCAAATTTACAATTATACTAAGATGTAATAAGCATTCTATTTTATAATTTTCATCAAAATATTGCAGGGTTTCAGTCAGCTGAGAAATGTTCTTGAATCTTATTTGCTTCAAATGGCGGTCAAACACTGAAAATTATTTGCTGCAGACGAAAACAGTTGCAGGAACGCAGCCACAAGCACAAGGATYAAACATGCTTCATTTCGTGTTTGTGCTTGGTTTCTCAGTTGTTGTATGGAGTCTGGTGCTTATGATTATGCTTGCGTCGCTAGTGAAAACCAGGCTTCTTCTGCTTCTGCTTCTGCTTCTGCTTCTGCTCTCTCCTTTTTCTTCGACTTCTTTTTAATCCTACTCTACATGGAGATTTTTTTAATGAATTATTTTACCATTGTTTTAACCAAACGTCAGGTCATGCTCTTGGTTTCTTCCATGAACAGTCTCGTCCAGATCGAGACAACTACGTGGAAATCAAATTTGAAAACATCCTTGATGGTAAGACCACAAAACATTTGTGAAGTAGATGTAGGAATTAGATAACATAAAAAAATTAATAAATGAATATCCATCGATGACATCCTCACAAAATAATATATTTCAGGACGTTTATCCATAACGAATGTGAAAATATTGTGATTAAATATATATTATATATTATCATATATAATAATAATGATATTATTATTAATGATGATGATGATGAGGATTTTCGCGTATTGACTATTGCCTATCGCCTTGGGCGTTGACAACTTTTATTGAAATAGGTGTATGCATAAATGTATATTACAACGTTTCAGCTATTTCTTGTATTCTGAAAGGAAAAAGATCGAACTTCRAGAAGCAGTTTTCAGGCATACACTCAGTGGGTACTCCCTACGATTGTGATAGCGTGATGCATTATGGGTCAAGAKCTTTTTCTAAGAATGGACTGCCAACAATTGTACCCAAGAAACAAGGGGTATTTACAAGATCATTATTATCATTATTAGTGATATATAACTCATTATTATAAATCTCTATCGTACCCATTGTACCCAAGAAACAAGGGGCATGTACTAGATCATTATCATTATTAGAAATATATAACTCATTATTATGAATCTCGGGCTCCCAATTGTACACAAGAAACAAGGGGTATTTAGAAGATCATTATTATTATTAGAGATATATAACTCATTATTATGAATCTCGGACACCCAATTGTACCTAAGAAAAAGGGGCATGTACAAATCTTCCAATATAAGATCATTATTATTATTAGAGATATATAACTCACTATTATGAATCTCGGACACCCAATTGTACGTAAGAAAAAAGGGGCATGTACAAATCTTCCAATATTCGGGTAAAAAATAAGAAACATTAACGGACATTCTTTTAATCATTRAAGGTGACCATTGGACAAAGAAATGGTTTAAGCGCAATTGACGCCATCCAGCTGAACAGAATGTACAAATGTGAAGGTGGTGGTAGGTATCGAT